GGTTTGTTCGATTATACATTAAATCTTTATTTTTAAAAATAATTTTAGTTGGAAATTATCCTAAAATGAATTGTACCTTTCTTCTTTTTAATTTAGCTTGTTGAGCCTAATTTAATCTTTTCTTAATGACTCAGATCCTTATGGGGTGTGTGTATGTGTAAAAGATACAAAGCTCTGTGGGCTTTTTAGTCTATTCCTAACTGTTTTTCCCACAAGACCATTTTTAGTGCATAATGTTTACAAAGTGCAGGGTTTTCAGGAATGCATATCGTTGTATATAAATGCCTGGAGTTAAGTCTGTGTGGGTCACAGTCATGAAAGATTTGAAAGCCATTGCACTAGGTAACTCCTTCCTTGTGCTAACAACACTTTCTTCCATTTGCATAGTACTTGACTGTTTGCCAAGCCTCCATACATATATATGGCCTATGATAAATAAACCAGGGAAAGAATTAAATTTTTGTTGTTTTTAAATACAGTAAGCAAGCATAATGTAACCAGAAAGAGCATGGACTTTCCAATTAGACATTAGCCTTTAGTCTTTAATTTTAGCCTTTCCATTTAGTAGCTATGTGGCCTTGGATGCCTTAATTCACTCCATTAACTTCAGAACCTCAGCTTTTTTTTTTTTTTTTAACTGAATGGGAAATGCTAGAATTGTTGGGTCCTTTAAGTCAAGTAATGAAAGTAAAAGTGCCTGCTAGGGGCAACACGAATGAATGTTGAGTGGAAGGAAGTAGACATGAAAGAATATATGTGGTATATTTTATTTAAAGTTCAAAACAAGCAAAACTATTCTATAATGACAGAAGTTGAGACAGTGTTTACTCTTGGGTGGAGTACTGACTGAGAGAGGACACAAAGGAGTACTTCCTTGAGTGCTAGTAACAATCTCTTTCTTGGTTTGACGACACATTGTAAAAGTTCATTGAGTTTCTTACTATGATTTGTGTACTTTTCAGTATGTTATACTTTATTAAAAAGTCATTTTTAAAGTGCTTGGTACAGAAAGTAGCACATAGAAGGGAATCCCCTTCTCCTATGATGGTTCTGTAAGTTCACATTATGAAAGTCTATTTAACAAACTGATCCTAACCTCTTTTCCTTGTAACCTCTCAGTTTCTTTGTTCTCTTACAGTTCTCTATCTCCTGATTACATCTTATACCTAGGCATGTTTAATAAGTATATACAGTAATAATCCCAACTGGTGTAGCTGAAGGTTTAGTTCAGTCAGATAAGGTGCAATTGAATGTCTGACCGCTGTGATTTAGGAGCAAATCAGCAATATGAATTCTGATTTGATGCTATTCTCTGATGATTACTTGATGTGATATTTTGCTTTTTTTTTAAAAAAAGATTTTATTTATTTATTCATAGAGACACAGAGAGAGAGGCAGAGACACAGGCAGAGGGAGAAGCAGGCACCATACAGAGAGCCTGACGTGAGACTCGATCCAGGGTCTCCAGGATCACGCCCTGGGCTGCAGGCGGCGCTAAACCGCTGCGCCACCGGGGCTACCTGATATTTTGCTTTTTAAGTGGAGATTAAATGGATTTTTAATTTTGCCTGATATCAAATCAAGTTCATTATTGAGTTTTTTAATGGTGGGACATTGGACTTACTCTCTTATTTCTGGCATTTTTAATACAGGTCGATTATAGTATAGCAGGCTTTGAAATAGTCACCATCACACCCTGTCACACCTCTATATTTTGCTTTAGTTCTCATCACTGAAAGAAAACCATACATACTGTTTTTACCTTATTGCTTTGTACTATAAGTATAGAAACAGAACTTATGTACTTGGAAATTTATGCAAAGCTTTGTTATAAAAAAAACTTAGAATTGTTAAAAAGTCAATTTAAAAACTCAGAAAGTTATTTCTTCTGATACAGGCTATGTGTGGGATATAAAATAAGCCTATTAGAGTCTCTGCCCTCGGGGGTAGAATCCTGCAGGAGAGGTCTGTGAGATAGGCAGAAAATGAACCTGTCTTTACTTTTGGTCTTCTGGATGTCTTTGGTCTTGGAGAGAAAACTTGGACTTTCAAAGAGAAGGTTTTTCACAGAGGGACTAGCAACGCCCTTTATTTTATTATTTTTTAAAAAGATTTTATTTATTTGACAGAGAGAGAGCACAAGCAGGGGGAGCAGCAGAGAGAGAGGGAGAAGCAGGCTCTCCACTGAGCAGGGGGCCTGATGGAGGCTCCATCCCAGGACTAGCAAGGCCCTAACTGAATCCACAGAGAGCTGTGGCAATGATTGTGTGAATGCTGATGGAGCCAATAGAGAGAGACCTGACTGACTTCATCAGGGATTAGATACCCTATTACCTGTTAGATACTTACTTATATACATTGATTAAAATAGATAATGCCATTCAACCCTCATAAACCCTTTGGAGTAGACACTATTATTTCTACATTAAACCTGCAGAAATTATGGCTTAGAGACATTTAGTAACTTGTCCAAGTTTACAAAGCTAGTGACTGAGTTGTTATTCAAACTCAAAGCCCATCTGTACCACATGCTTTATATAGATAGTAATTTTATCCAAAGAAAGGATGTATCTATGGGAAGATAGCTTGGAAACCTGTGAAATGGAAGGTCATAAAGAAAATTGATGATGGCTGATTGCATATAGAATTACCCAAGAAAGAGAATGTTATGACTCCAGAACGTAAGTTTAAGTCCTTGTGAAGCTTTTTGTGTTTCTCTTATGAGATGGTTGAATGGGACTGTGATGCAAATCTACGTGTTACCTGTTTCTCTTCTTTCTTCTATTTTGTAGTAAGATATATAAAACATAAAATTTACCATTTTTAACCACTTAAAGGCATTAAGGTACATTTACAGTGTTGTTTAGCCTTTACTACTCTCTATCTCCAGAACTTTTTCTTTTTCTTTTCTTTTCTTTTCTTTTTTTTTTTTTAAGATTTTATTTATTTATTCATGGGAGACCCAGAGAGAGAGAGAGGCAGAGACACAGGCAGAGGGAGAAGCAGGCTCTCCACAGGGAGCCTGATGCGGCACTCAATCCCGTGACTCTGGGATCTTGCCCTGAGCGAAAGACAGACACTCAACCGCTGAGCCACCCAGGCATCCCATCTCCAGGGGAGATGCTTTTTCATCATCCCAAGCAGAAGCTCTGTACCCATTAAATCACTCTCCATTCCCTCCTCTGCCCTGCCTTAGTACTTCTACTTTCCATTTCTGAATTTGCTTATTCTAGTTACCAAGTATAAGTGGAATCGTACAGTATTTGTCCTTTTGTGTTTGGCTTATTTTATTTAGAATGATGTTTTCAAGATGTGTCTGTGTTGTTGCAAGTATCAGAATGTTACTCCTTTTTATGGAATAAATATTCCATTGTGTGTATAAAGCATATTTATTTATCTGTTCATTTACTGATGGACGCTTGGATTGTTACTTTCCTTTGGCATTGTGAATGATGTTGCTATGAGCATTAGTGTACAAGTATCTGTTTTAGTCCCTGCTTTCACTTCTTTTGGATGTATACCCAGGAATGGAGTTGCTGGATCATATGTTAATTTTATGTTTATTTCTTTTAGATTTTCCACAGCAGCTGCATCACTTTTCATTCCTACTAGTAATTTGCAAGATTCTAATTTCTCCACATTCTGACTTGTTATTTTTGTTTTCTGTTCCTTTTTTATGATAGCCATTTGAATGGGTGTGAAGGGGTATCTCATCCTGATGTTGTTTTGCATTTCCCTTATTGATTAATGATGCTTAGTATCTTTTCATGTGCTAATTGGCTATCTGTATAGAAAAAGGAGAAATGTCTATTCAAGTCCCTTGCCCATTTTTTTAAATTGAGTTGTTTGAGGGGTTTTTTGTTGTTGAATTGTAGGAGTTCTTTATATATTATAGGTATTAATCTCTTCTTGAATATATAATTTACCAGTATTTTCTCCTATTCTGTATAGGTTGTCTTTTACACTCAGATAGTGTTGTATGATACACAAATATTTTTCATTTTGATGAAATCTAATTTATCTGTTTTTTTTTCATTGCCCGTGGTTTAGATGTTACAGAATCATTGTCAAATCCAATGTCAAGATTTTCCCCTGTGTTTTCTTATAAGAGTTCTATAATATTAGCTCTTGTGTTTAGGTCTTTGCATTTTGAGTTAATTTTTGATTTCAGTATAAGGAAAGTTTAAACTTCATTCTTATGCATATGGGAATAGTTTTTCCAACATCACTTGTTGAAAAAAATATCCTTTTCCCATGAATGGTCTTGGCACCTTTGTTGAAAATCATTTGACCTTATATATTAGGGTTTGTTTCTAGGCCCTCTATTCTATTCCATTGGTCAGTGTGTGTGTCCTTGTGCCAGTACCACACTGTTTTGATTACTCTAGCTTTGTAGTAAGTTTTGAAATCACAAAGTGTGAATTTTCCAACTTTATTCATTTTCAAGGTTGTCTAAGCTCTTCAGGGTCCTTTGAAATTCTACATGAATTTTGGGACAGGTTTTTATATTTCTGCAAAAGACATCTTTGGGATATTGCGAAGGATGGCATTGAGTCTAAATCACTTTGGGTAACATTGTCATCTTAACAATGTCAGTCTTCTAATTCATAAAGACAGAATGTCTTTCCATTTATGTTTTTTTCTATTTCTTTCAGCAGTGTTTTGTAGTTTTCATCATACAATATTTTACTTCATGTGGCTATTATATTTCTACAGTAAATTAATAAGTTAACATTCTAATTTACCCATCGTTGTTTAATGACCTATAGAACTACCCTCAAGAATATATTGTTTTTAACAGAATCAGTGTTCTGAACCCACAAAGCTGAGGGAAGGATCCTGGAAATTGGATCCTATTTGGATAGGTTTTCCTTTCCTTTGGGAAGCCATGTCTGGGTGTCCTGCCTGTTGGTTTCCTCTAATAAAAACCTGATTTTACTGCATGTCTTCTTTGATCTACAGTAGTTCACATTTCTAATTTTTTCTGCCTTTACTTCCAGATTTCTCCATCTTGCTAAGGAGGAACACTTTCCTATTTGATATAGCTGATGGTACCATGCAAAAATCGGATCCTCGAAAAGGTCAGAACCTGTATTTATATATAATGGAAATAGAGAGTTTTCCTCTACTAGATTGTATATGAATGTATGTGTCTCAAAAAGCTATTAGAGCGAATAAAAGAATCTCACCCTTTCTTGCCAACTTATCCTGCAATTTTAACAAATCCTGCGTGTCATTTATATAGCTCTTTATAGTTTGCAAAGTACTCTTCATGTAATTGTCTTACATAGTCTTTACAGTAATCTTGTGAAGTAGGTACAGTTACGTTTCCTGTTTTATGGAAACAATGAGGGGTTAAGAGACTTATTCAAAATCTTGTTACTATGTGCTGCTGTATCATTTAGTTCTAGATCTTTTGCCTTTAAATCTTTTTCTTCTCACTCCATCACAAATTCATGATCAGTATCAGAATTTAGAAGGCATGGAAGTAGTAAGTGTGGCAGCTGTATGAATACGGGAAATAGTGTATGTAAAAATCTGTGAAAAAGTTAAAATCCCTGTGTGGATGCAAAATATCATTAATTAAGTCAGATCATGATATTGAATGTCTAACATAATCTTTGAGATGACATGAGATGCCTCAATATGTAATATACCATTGTCTTACGTGACAAATGAAGCTCTGTGTTTGCTCCCTTCCTACTTTTCGATTCTCCTCTCACTTTATCTCTGTAGCTTGCCCTGCCCTTTTCTATCTATAATAAACTGCTGGTTGTTGTCCACACACACTGTCCATTTTCATACCTTTTATATTCCTTTTGCCTAAAATGCCTATTCATCTTTCTTCTACAGTCCTAGTAAAACTTGATCTCTGTGGTGCGTTCCCCACTTCCCTAAGCAGGGTTAATCATTCCTTTCTGTTTTCCCAGAGTGCTTTGTATAGCACATCGCTATTAGAGCAAAATTCATGTTATGTTATGATTGTGTATTTGTATTGCTATCTGTCCTACTAATCAGTGAGTTCTTTGTGTCCTTACTGCCCCCACATTACTTCTAGGCTTAGATACATTTTGTTTAAAGAATTGAATACTAGCTCTCCTTAAAGATATGTATACCAATCTTAGTGGGAGACTGACCACATACAAAACTTAGAAGCTTGTAAATAAACATGGTACATGCTTGAAGTAGAACACAGGGATGATCATAGCCAAGCAGGATTATTTAGGGACGAATTCCTCTAGATAAGGGATTAACAAACTGTGGCTCATGGGTCAAATCCTGTGGGCTGCCTGTTGTGTAAATAAGGTTTTTTGGGACATAGCCACGTTTGTTGTTAATGTGTTACCTATGACTGCTTTCATGCTACAGTGGTGGAGTTGAGAACTTGCAACAGAAACTATATGTTCCATAAAATTGAAATTATTTACTCTTTGGCCCTTTTGAATAGAGGTTTGAAGAGAAAAGGAACGTGAATTGGTGAAGCATGAGTGTATATCATAATGTAATGAAAACAGGTTGTAGTAGTAGATATGCTAAGTGAGAAAGTTCCACTTTAATTGGGTTTATCAACAAGAGCTTTGTTGAAGTGTTAAGAATGCTTTGGATTGGTAAAGAAGAGACATAGAAATTCAATGGAAAGAAATGGCCAACTAAACAGTCTGGGTCTGTAGTAATTTTCTTAATTAAGTTTCTTAATTAATAGCAGGGCATGAGGGTGATGATGACAGAGAAGAAGGAAGCAACAATACACATTAACATTGATTAAGTGTGTACAATGACCAGGAACTGGTCTAAGTGCTTTCTATGTATCCTATTTAATTCTTGCACCTAAATGCGCTATTTACTATTATTGTCTTTATTTTCCAGATGAGGAAACCAAGGCACAGGGGGTTAAGTTACTTGGCCAAGGTTATACAACTAGTAAGTGATAGAACCAGATCCGAACCCTGGCAGTATTGCTGTAGAATCTTCATAAGAGAGGAAGGAAATCTAGGGATATTTGGTAAAAATATCCTTGAGATTGAACTAAGTTAATTAGTCTGAATAATTAGGAAGTGTGCTAACCCATCACAGTGAAGTGAAAATAAACAGACCATAGATGAGTAATGTTGGAAGGCAGTGTCCAATCAGAATAGTTTACTCTGGATTAGGAATGAGAGGGACCAAGAAGCAGATACAATGAGACAGGTTATATAGTTAGTCATTGAGTTTCACCTTGATAAGACCAGGAAGCAAGTAACTTGCCCTGCACACATGAGAGCTGCCCCATAATGCCTAAAGAGCAGGCATACTCAATTGTGATAGAGATGAGCAGTGATTTTCAAGGAAGGAGGTGACATTCAACACCCTCCCCCCACCCAAGTATATAGAGTCCTAAGGGAGGTGTCATATCAAACACATGCCATTCTCTCCCTTTCAGTTTTGTTTCCCTAAGGGGACTTGTTCCTGTTTAATTACCTACCACTGCTGTGATAAACATTTACTCCTTTGAACCACTTTTCTTTTTAATATGTGTATGTGTTAAAATTATGTATAAGCACTGTGAAAAATTTGGCAACAGAAGTATACTGAATGAAGAGAAAGTTTTCCTCCCATTACTCTTTTGCTCTCTTGAGAGACCTTTTTTAAAAGTTCAGTTGTAGATGAAACTACTGTTACTAATGAAAGTATGCTGACATTCCCTAGTGGTTATTGAGATAGAAAAAATACTAAGAATCACTTTCCTAAGGCCAAGATCCACAGCCAAGAATGGAAGGAACTTCCTGGGGAGATGTGGAATTTTTATCAATGGCAGTATAAGAAGAGACTTGGTAGGAATGCTAGAAAGAAGATTCAAACACTGGCTAGGATTGGTGGAATTGGAGGCAGGGGAGGAGGAGGCATTGAACTAAATGGCTTTTACTGTTCCTTCCAAACCTGTAGTCCTATGTTACACCATCTGACTGATTATCAAGCACAAAGGAAAAGACGTCAATGTGACTGGCATGGATGACTTGAGTGGAAGACAGAGTAGTATAAGAGAAAATCCAATGTATAAAATCCAAATTTATAGAACAAGTTACTTTGTAGTAAGACATTGAGCTTATTTTAATAGGATTTCTTTTAACATCTCGTTGTGCTCAAAATAGACTTCGTTTTTTATAAAAGAATTCCATTTACATTAAATTTTGTATTTATTATGTAAAATAAAAGCATCACACACTGTTCATTACTTCAAAGAAAGAAACTATTTCAGGTTATTTGCTTGGTTTTAAGTTGTAACAAATACAGAGTAAATAATTGGCCTGATTCCTTGATGCTGCTGCTCATAGACTCACAATATGATAGAACTTAAAAGGGACCTTACAGATCATGAGTGAAGTTCAGCCTCTTTATTTTACAAATGAAGAAAGTAAAAACCAAAGATGATGTGTTACTGGCTCAGTCTCACAGTAGCCTAACTGGAACTTGACTCTCAAAGATGAGAGCTAAGGTATGTAAAGTGCCTTCTGTGGTGCCAATACATGGCAGATGAAGACACAGAAGGGAAAGAAGATGATGATGATGTTATTTCTTCTGCCCCTACATTACATTTCTGTAAGCCTTCAGAGAAAAGTTGGTATTGTAGAAATATATATTGTCCATACTGCAAACCTAAAGTTGTACAGTGTTAAAATGATGAAATCAGGAGGTCCATACCTCCATAAAATTGTAGGATCTCAGATTTGGAAGGCCTTTTAAGGTTACCTAGTGTAACCTCCCTCTTCCTTTTCATGATTTAATACTTTCACTGAGGGATCCCTGGGTGGCGCAGCGGTTTGGCGCCTGCCTTTGGCCCAGGGAGCGATCCTGGAGACCCGGGATCGAATCCCACGTCGGGCTCCCGGTGCATGGAGCCTGCTTCTCCCTCTGCCTGTGTCTCTGCCTCTCTCTCTCTCTCTCTCTCTGTGACTATCATAAATAAATAAAAATTAAAAAAAAATACTTTCACTGAGAGGTTATTTTACCTTTGCTTCTATACCCTCCATGATAGCAGATTCACACCTGTCCTTCCAACAGTTTATCTGATAGTTGGATACCTCTGACTGCCAGAAAGTCCTTCCTAGTAATGAGCTGAAGCTTGTCTACCTGTACCTTCTTCTACCCACGAGTCCTATTCTGTCCCTTGGGGTAATATTGAGCAAATAGAACAAATCTCATCTCTCCTCTACATGAGAACACACCAGGTTTTTGCAAACAGCTCTCCTGTTTCCCCCAAGTCTTCTTTTCTCTTGGTTAAACCTTCACAGTTTCTTAAACCTTTACTTTCCTTGTTGCTTTCCTTTGAATAGAATTGTATTCCTGTATCTCATTTCAGAGTATAGGAACTAGATTTGAACATAAAACTCTACCTCCAAAGTGTTCTAACTGGCAGTGTAGATCATCCAGTACTGTTATTTCCTTTTTTCTGAATACTGATGGGAATGATGGTGGTGGTGGTGGTGCCTTACTTAGTTCATGACATGAGATCGATATATTTCTGCCAGGAAGTATGATGTGGCGCCACTGGTACCACTAAACTTCTTCCCTGTTCAGGAAACATGAGCCAGAAGCTTTATAGAAAGCATCAGCCTCTCTTATGCTCTGGATCACACCTCTGTAAGCCTCTGGAAGGGGTACACATTATACATAGTTGAAGTCTCCTAGGTCTGCCTGCAAGACAAAGGGAGTTATGGCTTCTCTGCATTTTCATTAGCCATTCATTGCTAGCTGCCTTGCTTGTTAAAGGAAATGCTGATGTTCTCTGGGGTTCTTCTCTCTCTGTGCACGTGCAGAGATGTATAATTGCTACAGAGGGAGTGGGGGTAGGGATGATTGCCAAGGAGAGATCTGTTCCATCTTCTTTGTTCACAACTGCTGCATGCACAAGACAGGATTTATTGCTCTCTTTGAGAAAGAGATTGCCTAGCTTGCTTCCCCTTCCCCCTCTTCTGGCAGATCATCCCAGAGGAATATTACCATCTCATCACACTTATCTCTGAACAGAATAAAAGTAAATGAAGGAGAGCTGGAGGCAGAGAATCAGCTAAAAGGCACTAGGAATAGTTGCTAATAAGAGAGAGTGGCTCAGAGGGAGTGGTACATCCCTGACTAGTCCCTTGTCTGTCTCTTGCCTCCTTTGTAGCTTGTCCTCCGTGACCACAGTGGGGCAGGTATGCTGCTCCCAGTGTTTCCTTTTTGATCTCTGTGCTTATTGGCATAGGATTATGGCTTATTAAAATCATAACTACTATCATTGCTAACATTGAAAGAGTTTTGTCTTCATGAGTTTTCAGGAGTATGTTTGATGCTTCTTTTTTCTCTTTTCCAGTTTATATTTCTGAGAAAAACATCCCTCCTTCTCTGTCCCTTCTTCCCTTTCTCCCCTCGCCCCTCATTGATATGTGCATGTAAGCCTGCGTTACTTCTTTTGTGTTTTCCAAGCTCAATGAATATTTAAAACATGGTACCTTTGAACATCCTCCATTTAATCGAGTTTTGCCTCATTAAATCCCAGACTATGCTTAATATTAATTCAGTGTTCAGGTCAAACTAATAAGGATCAGTGCTTCAGTCTTTACTGTAGTAAAGTGGGTAGAATATCTAAGTTGGGCTATTTTATGTTAGAAGCATTTGTAAGGTTTATTTCTTGTATTTTTTTCTTTTTCTTTTTTTTTTCTTTTGAGAGAGAAGCAGTGTAGTTAAGAGCAAAGTTTGGGTTCAGATACTGGCTTTTCTATTGACTGTAGCCTTTTAGGAACTTATTCAACCTCTCTGGGTACTATTTCCTCATTAGGTTAAAAAGGGATAATGATACCATACTAAGGGGTATCATACTGGTGAGGATTTAACAAGAAGGTTTTATTGAAATAATTAGCACAATATCTGGTACATAATAAACACTTAAAATAATAGCTATATAATATTAATAATACTGCTGTTATAATATATAAATAATAATTTATAATTAAAATTTTGTTCTTAATATATGAAGAATTTCTTCTACTTTTCCCTGCTTCAGGGGATGACCTATTATGATTGTTTTGCCACGTGTTGAAAGGATGCTTCCATAGCCTTGTAAATTTTTCTGTTACATATTATTTTTCTCTCAAGGGTTTCCAGAAATACCAGAATCTTTACATCCTCTAGATCTTGCACTATCCAGTATAGTCACCACTGTAATTAAAGGAAATTTTTTAATTTAGTAAAAATTAAATACAAACAAAAATGGAACTCTTCAGTCACACGGGCCATATTTCAAGTGCTGAAGAGCCACAGCATCTACCCATTAGATAACACAACATTTCTGGCATCAAAGAAAGTTCAGTAGGACACCACCACTTTATATTACTAGTCTATGCTCCTGTGCTCTTTTCTCAGAAAGCAAAGAGGGTATGTTTTCTAGAATGTTCTACAGATTTCTCTCTTAGTGTTTCAGGGCTTCAAACATGCATTTTGAGGATTCAGGTTACTCTTCTTATTCCAGTCTCTTAGTGTCATTACAGTCTTTTGGAATAAATATAGGCACTTTTGCTTCCCCCAAGAAGATTGCATTATGATAACTTTTTAAAGGTTCCAGTCAACAGTAAGAGGAAGCCAAAGGGAGAAGAGGCAAAGTAGAAATAATTCTAGCAGATATTCCTTAGAGTCGCTGCTCAAAAATCAAGTGTTTTAATCCTTAGGGGCTGACTAGTAATAGGAGGTTCTAAAGTACATTGTATTATTCAGGATCTCAGTTTTCCTTCTTAGAAAAGTAGCAAACAGCAAGTTTTTCTTAATAATCCCTATTAACTGTGTTATTTGCGCTTTTTTTTTTTTTTAAAGATTTTATTTATTTATGAGAGAGAGGCAGAAACACAGGCAGAGGGAGAAGCAGGCTCCATGCAAGGAGCCCGATGCGGGACTCGATTCCGGGCCCCCAGGATCATGCCCTGGGCCGAAGGCGGCGCTAAACCACTGAGCCACCCAGGCTGCCCTGTATTATTTACTCTTAAAGCCATTTTTTTTTTCATTTGTTCTTCACAACAACCTAGTAAAGCAAGTAGCATTGGGATTACCATCCCTATTTTACTAATAAGAAGACAGGCTCGGTGCAGTTAAGTTAGTTGCCTAAAATCTTTAAAGGAAAATACCTTTAAAGGGAAAATACTGCTGACATTCAAAACAGGATAGAATTTTAATTTCCAATTTGATATTTGTTTTGTTTTTATTTTGTTTTGCTTTATTTTATAGTCAGACTATAGTAAAAGAGTGAAGATTCTTAGGGCAACTTGGAAACTGAATAGTGTTGCATGGGGTAGTTATTCTAAAAAAGAGTGACTACAGCCTCTTTTGTCCTGTGACCATGTGTGTTAGTCTGCTTGGACTTTCACTTAAAAAAAAAAAAAAGTGCCACTGGTTGGGTGATTTAAACAACAGAAATTTATTTTCTCACAGTTTCTGGTCTGGAAGTCCAAGATCAAGGTGCTAGCAGGGTTTGTTTCTGGTCAGGCCTCTTCTCAGCTTATAGACAATCACTTTTTTGGCCACATCCTCACCTAGCCTTTTTCTCTGTATGTTTGTGGAGAGAGAGAGATCTCTGATGTCTCTTCCTCATTTTATAAGGACAAATTAGGACCCCACCCTTACGACCTCATTTAACTTTAGTTAACCTCCTTGAAAGTCCTGTCTCCAAATACAGTCTTATTGGGAATTGAGACTTTAACATAGGAATTGTGAGGGAGCACATTCAGTCCATAATGGATTTTTAGTATCTTTTGAGTTTTTGGCTTAACCTGGTTAGTTGGAAATTATATTCATATGCAATATTTGCATGGGACCAAATGTAGCAAATATCTGTATTTTTGATTTCTGTGAATATTGAGGCTTAGTTAAGTTAAACCTGTGGTAACTTGTTATAAGGTACTGTCCCACCTTGAGCTATTCTAATAAGCAAAAAAGATATATTTAAATGTCCTTACTTTTTATTTTATTTTTTTATTTTTTTATTTTTGTCCTTACTTTTTAAATGATGTAGCAACTTGTTAATACTTAAGTCTCAGTACATTAAGGGGTAATAAGTGTCCTCCTTCCTTCCACCCCCATTTTACAGATGGAGAAATTAACATACAGAGAAACTGACTTGTCAGAGGTCAGAGTAAGATATTGGTGGATCCAGGGATAAATCCTAAACTCCTTAATTCCTTGACCAGTTTTAACTCCATTGACTATGCAGCCTAGTGGTAAGTATCTTTTTACCCTATTCTGGAGGTAAGAGGGATTAAGAGATCTAGCAAGGACTGACTCTAGGAATTCTTGTTGCTAATTTTGTCATTCATTATCCATTTCTTTTAGCCATGATGTCTTTTTTTCAGTTCATGGAAGGAACTTGCTTTTTAAATTCCTAAAGATATTTTTGTAACACTCAAGATTATTAAGAAATGAAAGAAAAACCTATTATTTAATGAATTTGTTCTCTGTTAGGCCGCTAGACTCTTTAGTGTTTAAATATTTAAATGTCATTAAAACTTAAAGCCATATCAGGAAGGTATGTATTCTTGCCATTTTTATAGCAATATTTTTAATAGTATTAGTTGAATTTAATAAAAACATCTCATAAGTTTCAGAGTTTAGATTCTAAATAAAGTTTTAGCTTTATAGAAACTAAGAACCTTATCAAGAATCTTCAAGTATATAAAATCTCTCTGTTAAGCATAGGTTTCTAGTTTATTATGTCTTACTCCTTTTTTTATCCTTTGCTTTGGATTTCCTGAGGTGAGATGATTTGCCTTGTCTAAGATTAAGTTAATCTTGCTCTTCTACTTGACATGAAAATCATGGGAATTTCTCTAAAGTCTTTTCATCTATCTGTACATCTGAAATAGTTAGGATTCCTTTAATTACTAGACAGGTTGAACAACTAAGCCATGTGAAAAGCAAGAGTGTAGTGAGCCTCCAGAACCAAGGTCCCATAGCCATTAGTGTATTCTTTCCATTGTCCCTCACCTCTACTTCTCTGCCCATTGGCTTATTTTTGCTCATAGTAGATCTGCTTTCTCCATTATAGTAAAAAATATAGTCACTGACATTGACTACATTTTACTTCTCTTAGCATACCCACTAACATGCCTTTTCCTCCAGCCACATTATACTACAGTTGCCCAAAATGGCACTGTCCAATAGAAATAGAGGGCAAGTCACATACATAATTTTAAATTTTCTAATAGCCACATTGAAAAAGGTAAAGACGAAACAGAGGAATTAATTTTAATAATTATTTTATTTAACCTAGTGTATCTAAAATACTATTTTGACATGTAACCAATATAACAATATATAATGAGCTATTCTGCATTCATTTTTTTCATACTCAGTCTTCAGAATCTGGTGCATGTTTTACAAATAATAGCACATCTCAATTCAGACACCAAGTTTTATCAGAAATGCTTTATCTATATTTAGATTTCAACAATTTTTTTTAAAGATTTCAACAATTTTCAATGGAAAAAGTAGATTCTCTTACCCAGTTTTATTCCAAACAAGGTGGGAGAAAGGAGGGCATTTGATGTAACGAGCACTGGATGTTATATGCAACTGATGAATCACTAAATTCTACCTATGGAACTAATAAAAAAAAAGTTTTTCCTATAGCTGTACTGAATGTCATTTATGAATCTAAATTAATAAAACATTAAAATTAAATATTTACTTAGTTACATAAACACATTTCAGGTGCTGCATATGGCTAGTGGCTACCATATTAGACAGAGCAGGTCTAACGTAGTGCTTTATGGCATCATTTCTTTCTTTACATTATTCTCTCTGTGATAAACTTTTATTACTCCAACCCCAAGACTCAATTACTTTTTCATAGCCTTAAGTTTTCCTTCCACCTTCTCCCTGGACAGAACTGTCTCCTCCCCTCTCCTCTACCTTCTGAACCCCCATATACTTTTAATGCAGCACCTATAATACTTTATCACACTTAGTCATGTATCTTTCTCCCTCTTCTAGACTGAAAGGAGACTTTATTGCTTTTTGAACCCCTCATTATCTGGCACAAGGCTAGAACCTATGCGTAGTCAAAGAATTTTTGTTTAAAGAGTGAATGAATATAATTTCAATCTGGAAATAGGAAAGACTTTAGAGGGTTATTTTGAAAATAGCAGATTGGAAATAGAATTTAAATGTCAAATTGAACAGGATTTAATAGGAAGCAATTCAGTCTTATAGGCCTGTGGCATCGCATTCATTCATTCATTTCATGGACTTAAAACACATGAGATGTAAAGGGGAATAAGACATAATTGATATAAAAAAGACATAATTTATAGCTAAATAGTTCATAGAATGTGTGCATATGCTCAACCACACACACACACACACACACACACACACAAGATATAGTTGTGTATTGCTGCCTCATAATATTGTTTGTTGCTTAGTGAAATAGAATTCCAAAGTTGAATAGAATCTTAGAAGTTAGGTAATTAATCCCTTTCCTACCTATAAATAGTTTCAGCATCTTTGGTGATAAGTGATCATCCAGCCTCTCTATTTGTACTCTTTGAGGAATGAATAACCCATTCTCTGTAGGATAGTTCTCATTGCCAGGAATTCTCATTCTGACATCTGCTTCCCTGCAATGAATGCTATTTCAAATGCGTCCAGTCAAAAGATCACATTTTGTGGAACCCGGGGTATAGAATGTAAACTTCATGAGAAGCAGGAGTTTTTAATCTGTTTTTAAAGACCCATCTTCAGTGCCTAGAACAGTGCCTGACAAATAACAAATAATAAATGTTTATTGAATTAATAAGTCTATATAAACCAGATTCAGGCATTAATTCAATTCAGTTTTTTATTTGTGAACAATTATTGCACATCTTTAATTGCTGCTGCCTCACCAACCCTTCCCCTCTGTGGCACTGTTCAACTTTATGTGCCCCAGATTCTTATTATTCACCTGCAAATAGATATTGGTAATACCTGAGATGATATGTGTGAAAGTGCCTGGTGCTGGGCCTGGTATATGGTAATGATAGGTGTTGGTAGAATCTGAAATGGAATCAGTATGGCCTCCTGACATCGCAGAAATGGAAGTCCATTTTTTAAAATTAAATGAATCTTAATAACTGAGACAAAGGGGCACCTGGGTGGCTCAGTTGGTTAAGCATCTGCCTTCAGCTCAGGTCATGACCCCTGGGTCCTGGGATCCAGCCCCTGCTTAGGCTCCCTGCTCTGTCTCCTTGCTTTCCCACTGCTCAGGCTCTCCTTCTTGCTTCACTCTCAAATAAATAAATAAAATATTTTTTTAAAACTGTGATAAAAGACATAGAACTTAAAATTTACCATTTTAACCATTTTTAGGTGTACAGTTTAGTGCCATTGAATACATTCACATTGTTATGCAACCATTTCCATCTGCAAACTTTTTTCATCTTGCAAAACTGAAACCGAAACTCTGTATGCATTAAATGATAGCAAGCACGTTTTTATTTTTTTTTATTTTTTTTTATTTTTTTAAATTTTTATTTATTTATGATAGTCACAGAGAGAGAGAGAGGCAGAGACACAGGCAGAGGGAGAAGCAGGCTCCATGCACCCGAAGCCCGATGTGGGATTCGATCCCGGGTCTCCAGGATCGCGCCCTGGGCCAAAGGCAGGCGCCAAACCACTGCGCCACCCAGGGATCCCGCAAGCACGTTTTTAATATTAGCCTAGGTATTGAAATAGTAAATCTGTTTGGAAAAATTTCCAAAATCAGTATATAAATGATTTGTCTATTATATGCAGTTTTAGATGACCTGTTTTCAAATTATTATTATTCCTATTTAACATCAATAATTAATATCTAATTGTGCTGGATTCTGTATCTAAGTATCCATTTATGTGTCAAAATTGTTTTGATAAAAGCTTGCATTTAAACATTGATTTCTTGGGGCACCTGGGTGGCTCAGTTAAGTGGCTGCTTTAGGCTCAGGTCGTAAGCTCAGGGTCCTGGGATTGAGCCCCAAGTTGGGCTCCCTACTAAAAAGATAAATAAAATCTTTTTTAAAAATAAACATTGACTTCTTAATATGTGTGATTTTCTCACATTGCATAATATTTCTGAGTTTGCCAAAAAGACAAACTTTTTTTTTGAGTGTTGTGTGCCAAGACCCAAAAACTGGATTAGTAGTATTTAGCTGTGACACTGTAGAGCTGGTATAGAAGTGGAAGGTAGCAATAGTGCTCTGCTTAGAGATATTGCCAGAAAGCTATTACAAAGTAACATTATCCTGGACCATAGTGAATAAATAGGAATCTCCCAAGTAGAAAAGTGAAAGTCCAGACACAGAAAACAATATGGCATGTTCATTATGGAGACAGTTTAGATTTTGATCTTTGAAGATATTTAAAGGAGTAGTGACAAGTTTTATCTAATCTGTATTTTAGAAAATGAGCACTAGAGCATGGATTGGAGAGGGATGGGGTCCCACACAGGACTTTAGTAACTGTTTCTGTCAGGCAGGTGAGAGAGAATGAAATCTTAAACTCAGAGTAGGAAAGAGGAGATGGTCATTTCAGAGGGAGAACTGACAGATTTTGGTAACTGGTTGGATCTGGAGGACAAAAGAGAACAGACAATTAAGGAGGTCTCCAGGTTTCTGATTTGTCACTGTTAACTAGAAGAGGGAAGACCAGAGAAGAAATATACTGCGTGGGGAGACAGAATAAAATAAAACTGATTGTTTAAAAATAGTAGCTACATATCATAATATATTCTGAAACATGGCCATTAATCTTAGAATGCTCTGAAAAATAACTAGCTCCTTTTTTTTTTTTTTCCTATCAGAGGCTGCATTCTGTTCATTTAGGAATTGATACAGGGATGATTCCCTAATCTACTGAGTAATGTATCGTGATGCTTAAAAATTAAGCATTTTTTTTAATTTTTTTTTTAATTTATGATAGTCATAGAGAGAGAGAGAGAGAGAGAGAGAGGCAGAGACACAGGCAGAGGGAGAAGCAGGCTCCATGCACCGGGAGCCTGACGTGGGATTCGATCCCGGGTCTCCAGGATCGCGCCCTGGGCCAAAGGCAGGCGCCAAACCGCTGCACCACTCAGGGATCCCCAAAATTAAGCAATTTGTAATGAATGTAGTTGTTGTCTCCTTTTCTCCTCTGGAGGCTGCTTTCCAGGTTCCACTTTTTTGTGCCAGGAGTTTCAAGTATTTCTTCTCAGGAGTTCTTTTTTCATTGTCTTGTGGAGCCTTATTTGATGCCTTTCTGCCCAGTTAAGTTTATTAATTATTTTGTTCATTTTGCTTCATCATTGACTCTGGCTTTTGTTTTTTCTCTTTACTAGAGAATTTTTTTCCTAGATTGGGTTGGTTGCTTTTGAATTGTTGTATTAGTGATCTTATAGCCTGGTTTCTATTTATTGTGGCTTCCTGAATCTGTTTTGCGTATGCTGATAGCGCATCTTTACTTGAGTGATGATAGTGAAGACTTTTGTACATAAGTGGAATACATATTATATATTTAATTTTTAATCATACATCCTAAGTATAAAATTTTTTTAAATTGTGGAAACTTTTTAATATAAAATCAGTTATGATACCCTAATATCTTTTGTCTCTGTCACCAGTTTTTTAGCCTGATCAAATTTGTAATCTTTATCAGTGATTTAGGGGAGAACAAACATAGCAGGTATTAGAAAGACAGGGGACATCCAAGTAGGAGAGAAGACACTTAGGGTGGAACACTGGCCAGTGTGACTGGAGTATAGTGGAAAAGGGAAAAGCCATACAGGCTGAGATCAGAGATGTGTCAGCAGCCAAATCCTGCATTTGCTGTGCAAGGCACCTGTAACTCAGTGGGAAGCTATTGGGAAGCCATCCATAAGCAGATGAATGACATCTGTTTTGTGTTTTAAAATGCTCATTCTTGGGACACCTGGGTGGCTCAGTGGTTGAGCGACTGCTTTTGGCTCAGGGCGTGATCCTGGAGTCTGGGCATTGAGTCCCACATGGGGCTCCCAGGGTGGAGCCTGCCTCTCCCTCTGCCTATGTCCCTGCCTCTCTATCTTTGTGTCTCTCATGAATAAATAAATAGAATATTTTTTAAAAAATTAAAAAATAAAAATAAAATGCTCACTCTTGGGGCACCTAGGTAGCTTAGTCGGTTGAGCATCTGACTCTTGATTTCAGCTCAAGTCATGATCTCAGGGTCATGAGATCGAGTGCCTCTCCCCCAAATCAGTCTCTGCACTTAACAGGGAGTCTGCTTAAGATTCTTTCCCTCTCCCTCTCCCCCTGCTCTCTCTCACTCTCACTCTCTAAAATAAATAAATCTTTAAATAAATAAATGCTCACTCTGAGCCCTGTATGGTGAGTAGATTGGAATAGACCAAGAGTGAAGCAGGGATTCCAGTTAGCAGGTTGTCATAACGGTCCAGGTAAGAAGGGCAGTGACTGGAACTGGAGTGTGAACCATGGGATGATGGGTTGGGACATGGTCCAACAGAGTTTACTGAGTGGGTATGAGTATGAAGGAAATAGAGGCATCACAGACAACTTCAGGGATTTTTTTGCTTGAGCAACTCGGTGACAGAGATACCATTTACTGGTTTGGAGAAGACAAAAAGGAACAGATTATCTTCCCCAAAACCAGTAAATGGCATCTCCATCACATATAATTTCACTCATATGCAGTATTTAAGAAACAAAACAAATGAGCAAAGGAAAAAAAATGAAGACAGACAAACCAAAAACCAGACTCAACTATATATAGAGAGCAATCTATAATGGTTAGCAGAGGGAAGGGGGTTAGGGGGTTGGATGAAATAGGTGATGGGGGTTAAGGAGGGTACTTGTGATGAGCACCAGGTATTGTATGGATGTGTTGAATCACTATATTGTACACCTGAAACTAATATTACACTGTATGTTAACTAACTAGAATTTAAATAAAAACTTTAAAAAACAAAAGAGGAACAGATTGGTAAGACATGGCATTCTGTTTCAGTGATGTTAAGTTTGAAATGTCTGATTTGATGGGTCATATATGACCTATAGGTAGTCATATATGTAAGCATGGAATTCCAAGAGGAGGCCAATGCTAGAAATATAGATTTGGGAGTGATCTCAGTGGAATAATAACCAACCAGAAAAAAAAAAAAACCTATTTGGATGAAGAGATAATGTGAAGAAGGGAGAAGGCAATGATGATAAACAACTCTTAAAATAAGTTTCCCTGAGAAATAGAAGGATATAGCAGGAGGGATATATGTGGGATTGAGAGTAGGAGGTGGGGTATTTGTTTGTTTTGTGTGTTTGTTTTGATAGGAGATGATGGAGCAGTAAGGATGCAGATGCAAACGGTCTATTAGAAAGAGAGTACTTGCAAAGTCCTTGAGAGGATGTGAGAAAATGAGATCTGGAGCAAAACTGGAGGGTTGCTTCTTGATAAAAATAGATACTTCATCCACAACAATAGAGAGCAGTCAGAAAGAATGATGAATGAGTAGATTATTCGTTCACCAAACACTAACTGAGCACCTGCTACTATACTGTGCATGGAGGATATACCACTAAACATAATCAGATCTCTACCTTCCTGAAATGAGTCATATAGGAAGTTCCTGTCCCTTCTGTTTTCTCAATGAACACTGAAAACATCATCTCTAAGAGTGAAAGTGAGGGAGGGAATATTTGGAGTATGAGAAGAGAGAAAAATACATGAATTTTTTTTTGAAGGTGGAAAAGCAAACACAGTAGGGAAATGTATGATTTCTCGATGGTGTCAAGTTGCATTTCAGAATTATGGCGATGAGTTTAAAGTGAGACCAGTAAGCTTGCGTTTGTTTTTCTTCAGCATTTGTGAGCTGTTGGGGTAGGCATGGTAGATAAGTGGACAAGTGGCTTTAACCAGAGTTAAGACTGAGGCTTTCCTAGGCAAATTTGACAAAAAAGAGATGGGAAAGAAGAGTGTTTGCCAGGAGGTGTTTTTAATGAGGACCATGGAATTTGAACTGTGTAAGAAGGGAAGTAAAAAATGATGGGTAATTAATGGCAAGAAAGTGGTAGGGTCAGTAGATTAATCTAAATTTTCAAACAAGGGGATCCCTGGGTGGCGCAGCGGTTTGGCGCCTGCCTTTGGCCCAGGGCGCGATCCTGGAGACCCAGAATCGAGTCCCACATCAGGCTCCCGGTGCATGGAGCCTGCTTCTCCCTCTGCCTATGTCTTTGCCTCTCTCTCTCTCTCTCTCTCTCTATCATAAATTAAAAAAAATTAAGTTTTCAAACAAGGAAAATGAATCTCCATTATGTAAGTAACTTATACTCTTTATAGAAAATTTGAAAATATATGAGATTAGAAGATGGGGGGAAAAATAAGATCACCGCCTAACCATAACCAGATGTTTATATTTGCTGTGTTTTCTTCTTCTTCTTCCCCTTCTTCTTCTTCTTCTTCTTCTTCTTCTTCTTCTTCTTCTTTTCTTCTTTCTTCTTTCTTCTTCCTCCTCCTCCTCTTTTTTTTTAGTGGTAACTTTGTAAGGTTGTATTAGTTTGCTAGGGCTGCAAAAATTATAGACTTAGTCATTTAAACAGACATTTATTTTCTCATGATTCTGGAAACTGGAAGTCAGAGATCAAGGTATGGTAAAGTTATTTTTTTCTGAGGCCTCTCTCCTTGGCTTGTAGATGTCTGTCTTCTCCCTTTTTTTACATGGTCTTTTCTTTGTCCCTGTGTATGTCCAGATTTCCTCTTATAAGGACACTAGTCTTACCAGATTAGGGCTCACCCTAATGATCCCATTTTAATGTAATTACTTCCTTATAGACCCTATCTCCAAATACAATCACATTAGAACATTAAGGAGGTTGGACACAATTCAGTTCATAACAGGGCTGTTCTTTGTTTTCAGTTTTTTTTACATAATTGCAATTATTCCATAAATATAATTTTTGATCTGATATTTTACCAGATAACATTAAACATTTTCCTATTTCATTGTGTAACCTTTGTAAAAATTTAACAGCTACAAAATACTTTATCAAGTGATCAATGTATTGTGGTATCTTCATCAGTCTTCCCGACATTTAGGTGCCATCCCCTCAGTTTTTTGTTATTATAAACAGAACTAATGCTTTTTAAATAAAGCTGTTTTTCTGTATTTTGGAGCATTTCCTTAGAATACAATCTCAGAAGTGGATTACTTTATCAAAATCTGTTAATACATACTGTTAAATTAGAGAAGTATTGAATCTTGCATTTTCTTTTCACGTGACTGTTTTCTCTCTTCCTGCAGTAATAGACTGGAATGATGTTAGAAAACACAAATATGGTCATCTCTCAGAGTCTGCATCCCAATATCAAGGTAAGGAAAAAAAAAAAAAACTAGCATGGAAAAATTTAGTTTGACATCTCTTACCATGAAACCTCTGTTCTTAGAGGCCTGTGGTACAAAGAACTCACTTATTAAAGCACAAGCAAACATTAGAGTTTGTAGTGGTGTCTATCAAAAGCAATTTGCTTTGTTTTTAACCAGAAATCAGGACTCTAAATACAGGTAATTCCAAATTAGCTTCCCAGCCTTAGGCCTGATTGCTTGGCCTGTCTGCATTTCCAGTTTCTAAGAGTTTAGCCTTAGGAGTGAGGAAGAATTAGGTGGTATATTCCACAACTACTAGTAACACACTCAGTATCTTTTAAAATGAGAGGCTTGGATTACACAAACTCTCAAGCCTTCATTTTACCCCAGAACTTTACCTTTCTATCATTTTGGCATGTTTGTCATGATGACTTACACTGAAACATTTTTTTCTTTAATAGAAGCTACTGACATCCTGGAACTAGGTAAGACTTCTTTCTTGTATTTCTGTTAAATATGAATACTAACCAAACCAGAGATTAGAGTGTGACTTGGAAAAGAATGCTATGCTGTGTGTCCCATGGGCTAGTGAGTCCTGTGCTCATCTGCTTTAGGAGCCTTTGCAGCCAGTCCTTATCAGGAGGTGCAGACCAAGCTAACAAAGATGAGGGGTAGGGGAAGCACAGGGGCTGACCCAAACTGGAAGTTAACTCTTAATTCACTGAATCTAGAACTAAAACAAACCCTGATGGCCCATAAATCAGAATTTGTTGGGGTTTTCCCAAAAGAAATTATTCATGAGATATATTGAACTGAAATTTAACCTAAATATTTTCTTTAAATTTTAACTAAACACAATCAGAAATATTAACAATCGAAATAGCAAGAATCAAAGTGCTACTACATTTAGTTTTCATCCCTACAGGGTGTACCTCTCAGGACTAGGATTCAAGAAATAATGTTAATGTTAATAATTCTTAATCAGCCTTCAGGATTTCTACATAAATGTCAGTCTTAACTTCTTAGTCCTTTAAAATCTTTCTTTATATTATATAAATATTATTATCCTAATGCCTTTATCAGTTTTTGTTCAGATATTTTTATATATTTTGTTACTGCAACTTCATGTGTTCAGCTCTATTATGATCACTATCTTTTTATTCCCTCTTGCCTTTTCTTCCAAAACCATTACTTTTATTGCCAACTGACAAAAAAGATAGCGTAGAACACTAGACTAGGAGTCAGAACTCCTGGGTTCTTCGAAAGTCAGCTACACTTAATAACTTTGTGATGCCGATCCTTAGTTTTCCAACTTGGAAAATGGGGATAATAATCCCATTCTCCCTACTTCACAGGGTTTTTAAGAAGATTATGTGAGCTAATAGATGTGAAAGCATCTTAAAACCTCTCAAATACTTTTCACCTTTGGAGGTTGTTATTTTCATTCGGTTGAGGAACTATCCTCAGATAATTACTCTAAGTCAAATCTTGGAACATTCCTTGAAGTGAAGTGTTCTATGAATGTGAGCTGAAAAAAATGATTGAAATGAAATAATGTAGGTAAAAGGCCTAGCACTTGATAAACAATAAATGAGAATCACTTTTTAAGGACTTAAATCTTGCCTCAAGCTAAGGCATTGTTGTATGATAGAAATAGCACAGACATAAGAATCAGATAGCCCTTCATTCAAATCCCTGTTCCCTACTTACCAGTTTTGTGACTTTGAGAAAATTACTTAATCTTTCTGAGCCTATTTCTTCATCTTTAAACTGTCAATAAAACATACTTTTCTGGTTATAATGAACTTAGGAGATACTGAACACTGTGTGGCATGGTGTAGGCAAATGGAAGGTACTCAGAGCTGCTGCTGATTTTGGTTCTGTTGCTAATATGGTAACAATTACATACGGTTCAGTGACAAGGTATGCTGTGAACAATCTATTTTGTTGGTAGGTAATTGTAAAAAGTGGATACTCAATTTAGCATGGAGTACATAGAGCAATGTTAAAATTTGAGAGTATATTTTTCCTTGTACAAGGAGTAGAAGCTGTGCTAACATAACACAAGCATAGCCAGGCATAGCCTCTGATGAGTTGATCCTGCAGGTTTCATTTTGCCCATCAGGCATAGAAGGCAACCCCAAATATCAAACTGAAATGAAATTCAGTAGATTTTTAGAATCTCCAAGTTTGGAAAAGACCTTAAGGTAATCTAACTTGGCCCAGCATTTCAAATTTGACATTTTGAGTATCTTATAAAATGCCTTGTCTTGAAATCCTCAAAGTTGTTGGGGACTTACAGCATCCTCAGGAACTCTCTTCATATTCAGACAGATATTTATTGGGCCCCCGATTTGTTTTTTTGTAAATTTTCTGTCAATCATACTTACAACTTTTAGGGCAATATGGAATAATTTAGCCAATTTTTCACTCACCAGCCTCTAGTTATTAGAAAGCACCTCTAGGGACTGCCTGTTCACTGCCATGCTACCTTCCTAGTTGAAGCACCATTATCTCATACCTGGGTTATTAGAATAGCTTCCTAATTAGTCTTCCTGCCTTCAGCCTTGTCCTCCTCTAATCCATCCTTCACACTGTAGACAGAATGACTCTTCCCCCAGAGCCTTCAGGGCTTCTTATTAATGTGGTGTAGGAGACTTTCTGATACCTGAACACTACTTTGATCTAAAACCTCTTTTCTTTCTGTTTTTTTTTTTTATTTTAGCATGAGTTTCTATTTATTTTTTTAACTTTTATTTTTTATTTTATTTAAATTCAATTAATTGACATATAATGGGTTATTGGTTTCAGAAGCTGAGGTCAGTGATTGATCAGTCTTTTTTTTTAAGATTTTATTTACTTATTCATGAGAGACACAGAGAGAGAGGCAGAGACACAGGCAGAGGGAGAAGCAGGCTCCCTGCGGGGAGTCTGATGTGGGACTTGATCCTGGGACTCCAGGATCACGTCCTGGGCCAAAGGCAGGGGCCAAACCGCTGAGCCACCCAGGGATACCCAGTCAGTCTTATATAATACCCAGTACTCATTATATCCTGTGCCCTCCTTAATGTCCATCACTCAGTTACCTTGTCCCCCACCACCCTCCCCTCCTGCAGCCCGCAGCTTGTTTCCTATGATTAAGAGTCTCTTACGGGTTTCCCTCTCTGATTTCGTCTTGGGTTTTTTTTTTCTTCTCTTTTTTTAAACTCTATCCATTAGCCATACCAAAATATTCAGTCTTTAGAGAGGTACCTTTTCTTACTTCTGGGTCTTTATACATGCTTTTCTTTCAGTCTAAAACAAAAGATTCTTCAAAGAATTTTCTCTCAAGTTTCCTGGGTGTCTCAGTCGATTAAAGCATCTGCCTTCAGCTCAGATGCTGGAGTCCTGGGATCTCAGGTTCCTGGGATCCAGCCCCACATTGGGCTCCCTGTTCAGAGGGGAGTCTACCTCCCCCTCCCCTCTGCTTGTGCATTCTCTCTCTCTCTCAAATAAATAATCTTTAAAAAAATTTTTGTCTTGGCCGACTTGCTGTTTATCATTTTAACACTTTAATTTAGAAGTGTAGAGGTTACTTTCTCTGGGAATCCCTCCACAAGCCCTCCTAGAGCACCCTCTGTAGCCAACTATAGTACTTATCATACTTTATTATAGTTGGTTGTTTAATTTCTGGCCCTCAGTGAAGCTCCGTAAGGGCAAGAACAATATTTTGATCATAGTTGTATCTTCAGCGCCCAGCACAATGCTTTGATACACATAAATAGATTTGTTGAATGGATAGATGAATGGATGGTTAGATGAAAAAATGGCTCCAAGACTTTGCTTGCCTCTTCAAGCTGAATGTTCATTGATCCTTCAGCTGTTCCTCAGGTGATGTGATTTTGTGTCGCTTCATTTAGGCTTTGGTTTGTTAGTTCCTAGAACTAAATTTGATATCCCAGGTGTGATTTCACTAGTCCAGAAAAGAGTAGCACTGTTGCATGCTTGCTTCTACTTTTCACTCACTTTTCATTCACTAAACTTTTATGGAGCCTGTGGTAAGTTTCAGGCACTGTGTTAAACAATGAAGATTAAAAAAAATAATAATAAAGATAGCTGCTATCTGTAAAGAGCTTAAATAAATGGATGATGTGAAAAGTATGAAAATAAAGGTATGAACAGGAATGTTACAGAAGCTAAGAAATGTTGGGATTTGTTCTGGGAAACAGGGAGAGTCAGACATTTCTTTTTGGCATGGTGTTTTATCTTTAGATGATGGATTAAAAATTATCAAGTTACTAATCTCAAAGGCCTATGGACACTGTTTTGAGAATGAACCACTGTGTATCTCATAAACTTAAGCTTTGGGCATTTAAAAATGTCTAGGTCTTATTAGTGCTGGATATGCCATAACTTACTAATCATTTGAAAGTGCCAAAAAAACATGGTTTAGGGTAGGCCTTATAAAAAATACTTGCTCTATTTAAATTGGTTTTGAAATTACATGAAACAAAGTGCTCCTTGTGCTGGAACAGACTAATGAGAGGAACAGAACAGAGACCAGAGATAGGTCTAAATGTATATAAGAAATTAATATGTGATCAAGGTGACATTTCAGTGTCCCCAATCAATGGGGAGAAGGTGATTTATTCAATAAATTGTGGTGAGCACATTTATTGAATAAAGGTGAAAAGAAAGCAGCATCTTTGCCTTATCTCTGAAAATAAATTCGAGATAGATCAGACATTTAAATGTAAAAAAAAAAAAAAGTGAAACCTGAGAAATCCTAGAAGAAAACATGGTTTAGTGTTTCTTAAATATTGAAGAAAGCATGATGTAAAAGCCAAGAAGTCATAAAGAATAAGACAGAGAAATTGAAGGGTAAATCCTAGCAGACAGAGACAGATGTCTTCAAGATACATGACAGGCAAAGGATTAATATCCTTAATCTACATGGAACTCTTAGAATCTGTGAGAAAACCAAAGAATACCTCAGTGAAAAATGATAAAAATAAAATACAAATGGACTAAAAAGATCTTCAACTTTATTAGTAATCAAAGAATTGAAAATAAAAGTGTAATAGTATTTTGTTTTTTCTCTGGTAAGATTTAACCAAAGTATAGAGATTATTAAAGCAGTTTTATTTATTTTTTTATTAAAGCAGTTTTATCAAGGATATAAGAAACATTTTCTTGGGGATCCCTGGGTGGCTCAGCGGTTTAGCACCTGCACTTGGCCTAAGGCACAATCCTGGAGTCCCGGGATCGAGTCCCACATCGGGCTCCCAGCATGGAGCCTGCTTCTCCGTCCTGTGTCTCTGCCTCTCTCTCTCTCTCTCTCTCTCTCTCTCTCTCTCTCTCTCTCATAAATCAATCAATCAATCTTAAAAAAAAAACATTTTCTTATGCACTATTGGCAGGAATTATATTGTATCAAAATATAAAATATGTCTGTTCTTCGTCCATTCATTCCCCCCACTTGCCCTAAAGTGATAATCTTAAAAATGTTAAAAGAATACAAAAAATACTCATCAAAAATTAGAAAATGCTTATATGACCACTGAGAGCATATAACAGATACTTTTGTTAACTAATATAAATTATGGCACATATAAACTATGGAACAGTTTTCAGACAGTAATCTTGGGGAAGAATTTCTGATCTAAAGACTATGATTATCTTTATTTCTCTTAGGAATTTAGGTTCCACACTTAAGGTGGAATGAGGGTAGAGTTCTTGTAGAGAAATGTGGCCAAATAGTAACCAGCATGAGTAGAGGTGCCTCATGTAACCAGGTCAAATTAGCAGCATTTGAGGGATTTGGGACATATTTAGAAAGAGAGGTTGTGTGTATTATGCCTGGGACCAATAGGTAGAGGTTAAAAGAAAGCAGACTTTGACTGACTATAAAGGTTAAAGTCTATCCATTTGTACTATGGAATAATAAGTAAATAAGGAATTTATCATCATTGGAAGTATTCAAGCAGAGGCTAGAGGGAGCTTGAGGTCTCAACTTTTATATCACCCCATCAAAATGCCTTTCTTGACTATCTGCCTAACATAGGACACACATAACCTCAGCATTCTTTCCCTTTTACCTTGCTTTCTTTTTTCTTTATTTGAAAAAGGCCAAATAGGGGCCACATAAAAGGTGTCTCTCTATTGCCCTCTAAAGCAACTGACATATTTATTTATTTATTTGTTTGTTTTTCTTCCCCTTTAGAAAGTAAGCTCCATGTGGTCAGAGACTTTGGCTATTTTATTCTTTGCTGTATATCACTAGTGCCTAGAGCTAGGATTGGCACATAGTAGGTGTGCAGTAAGTATTTGTTGAATGAACGAGTATTAGAGAAAGGTATTTATGCATTCAACTGGGTGGATCCTTGTGCTTGACATTTTGGGGATTTTTAATTTTTTAAAGGTACTTCTATGTAGTGTGTCTCTTCAGGGTAGGGATTTCACTTCCTAATAAGTATAACTATCAAGTCATATGCATTAGAGTTTATAAGATACTTTAATAAGTGTTATTCAGTAATATAAATGAGATGACTGTTTTTTTCTTACCTGTAAAGTCTCAGGTCCAGTGATTCCTTTCTAGAGCATCTGTCCATAACTTCGCCATCTCAGATAGTTCCTAGCCTCTGTCCATCACACTATTTTATTTCCTTCAAATACTTACCACTTATTAACTTATTTATTTGGTTATGTGTTAATTGTGCCTCATCTACCAGAATGTAAATTCCATGAGGGCAGGGACCACCTGTCTTATCCCAGCACTGAGAATACTGCCTGGCACATAGAGGAATATTCAAACATCAGTTGAATGAATAATTGAAATCATTTTATAAATTATAAAACAGTATACTTACATGAGTTAATAATACTAATCTTCACAGTAATCCTTGACCCCAGTAACAGATCAAATTTTCCTGTTCTGCATTCTCAAGGCAATCTATACTACCTCATTAATTTAAATTGATCATAATGATATCAGATTATTTGTTATTATTTATTTAATATCTCTGCTTATTTCTAAACTGCAAGCTCCATGAATTTAGGAACCATGTCTGTCTTATTCCTCTTACATTTAACACAGTGCTTTTGTACTTGGATGGAGTTTAATAAATATTTATTGAATGAATAAGTGTGTGTACAATTTTGCATGATAGATACTATCTCTATCCTTATGATGAGCAAACTGATACTTGGAAGGATTAAATAATTTATCCAAGATAGTTATAGAAACAAGACTTTAGGAGTGTAGTCGGTTAAGCATCTTCCTTCAGCTCAGGACATGATCCTGGGGTCCTGGGATTGAGCCCTTCATTCGGCTCCCTGCTTAGTGGGGGGTGGGGGTGTCTGCTTTTCCTCTCCCTCTGCCCCTCCTCCCTCCTTATATTCTCTCTCTCTCTCTCAAATAAATAAACAAAATCTTAAAAAAAAAATCCAAGACTTTATCCAGCATCTTCTGACTCTCAATATTACATTCTTTTAACTACACCAGTAATTCCTAGACACAGATGTGAATCAGAATTACTTAGGGAACCTTTGAAAATACAGATTTTCAGACCACACCCAAAGCCCATTGAATGAGTACCTCTGAGGATGTGGCCCAAAACTTGATTGAAAGAAATGAGAAAAATTATTTAGGAGATTCTGGTGCTAAGTAACATTTGGGAATCAATGATATATGCCAAGGGTTGGCAAATCCAGCCCACTGCCTATTTTTATAAATAAAGTTTTAGTGGAACACAGCCATGTTGATTCATGTACATATTATCTGTGGTCATTTTCAGGCTACAGTGCACAGTTGAGTATTTGTGACAGAGATTGTGTGGCCCACAAAGGGTAAAATTTTTACAGTCTGGTCCTTTACAGAATGCTTGCCGACCCCTCCCTGATCTGTACCTTGCTGCCTGTCCTATTTTTGTGTGTGCAGTTGGAGATGTAGTAGACATATGGAGATGACATTTGGCTCCATTATGGGCATTACAGTAGGTGCTCAAACATTCTTATTGAGTCAATAAAAATTAACTTGTTTGCAATTTACCTGAAATTAAGAGACTAAGCCCTAGGAAGCATAGGCAGCAAAATTTAAGAAAAATACTAATCTAGGTATGGTTCAATTACAGTTGGTGAACTGCTTTTAACAAACAGATTCATTTTCATTCAATTGGTAATAGGGTGTTCTCTAAATGGAGAAAGATGTGAGGTTTCTTGCCTAACAAGGGACTGATTACCATAATTGATGTGTAATAGAGAACTATAATTAATACCTCAACTATTTTGGTACCCCTGATACTGCCATAATTTTTAAAACCAAAGTCTCTTGGGTGCTTGTGGTCAAAACTCAAGCTACTACAAGCAATTACCCAGGACTGACCAAACCTCTAGACCTGCGCTGTCTGATACAGTAGCTGTTAACTAGATGTAGGAATTTAAATTAAATCAAATTAATTTAAATTTCTCACTCACACATCTCAAGTGTTCAGTAGTTACCCATGGCTTAGTGGCTGCCTTGCTGGACAACACAGACACAAAACATTTCTGTCATTACAGGAGGTTTTAGTGGACAGTGCTGCCATAGATGCTGGAGTTGCAGGAGTTGCAGTTCACTCAAATTCCAGACTTTCTATGTGACTTAACCTTTATTTGTAAGAATGGGATAGTACTTTTTAATGTTTTCTTTTTCTAACAGCAAATAGTGATGAAATATATTCATTCTTTGGTGTAGGGATGTCTCAGCTAAGAGCAAACTCTTTATTACATTCTGATAAGCTCTTTAAATCTTGATTCCAAGAAATATCTATCCCATTTACCTTATGGACTCTGTATTCACGATAGTTAATCACTGGCCAGTTCATTAAGTGGTTCAGAACTGATCGTGATTTCTGGCCAAATCCATTTGGCTTGCTTAAGGATGATGGGAAAGGGACCAGTTTTAAAACAGAAGCTGTAAAGTCAATAGAGTATATAAAGTCTTGGCAACATCTTTGAAGTGATTTAGATTTCATCATTCAGTGAATCATTTTTATTCCCAACATCTAGTGCTTTTTACATGGTCCAAAGTGGCCCTGTGCTACTCCACTGCAGAGGAAACATCAAGAAATGCTGGTTTGCTACAGTATTTTAGTTTGTGAGAGTCTCTGGGATCTTCCCTGCACCATCATGGGGTCACCTCTAGGTGGGTATTAGGGGGAGATTGGTAATTGATTTAACCTTTAATAAAGAACTTCGTCATCTTTTGTGATTTTATAAGATATAGATAGATATAGATATAGATATATATTTAACAGCTTGTTTGTTAAAATGTTTTCCCTGCCCCAGCAGTGTTACCTTGAAGACTTTCTCTAGCACAGTGTTCCTCAAACTTTGAGAGGCTCTGAAAGCCACTTTAAGAAGCTAAAAGATCCTCTAGACTCCCTAACTTATTCTTACTCTCATCAGAAATGCTACCAAGGACCTACTTTTCTGTAAAGTACCAGATCTTTGTCATTTTGCACCTCAGCAGCACAGCTGTGGCAAGAATGGGAGTGGATTGGGGATGGGTAAAAGAGAGAGAGCAAGGATTCAAGTATAATCTCACTTATTCTGGCTTTTCATGCCATCAAACCATTTTACCCTATTCTCTCCTTCATTCTTTCTGAGCTAAGATGATGGGATCCAACTGTATTGGGTGTTAAAACCTATCATTTGATGGTATTAAGGGATCTGTTCAGGAGTCAGGTGTTCAGAAAGATTCTCCTCACCCACACTCTATGTCTGCTGTTCTGCTGTCCACAAACTTCCTGGACATTTCTGTGAGATACTGATATATCTTGCTCTGGCATTTGGATCACTTTAAGGACTAACATGAAGAACATGTAAGGTCATCTTCAGACCATGATGTTAAAACATTGACCTAAAATGATCCACTCTGGTCACCTAGATTTCTACCTTTAGATTTCTACTCTTGAGCCCAGTAGGGGAAAATAAGTTTTTTCTTACACCTAATGTTTAGTCTAGATTACAGCCCAAAAGGACTTTTTAGGAAGTTGACTGTGATAGAGATTTCTATTTCCTTTACAGGTCATTTTACCTGGGACAAATACCTAAAAGAAACATGTTCAGTCCCAGCGCCTGTCCATTGCTTCAAGCAGGTAATTGATTCTCAACATCTTTAGTAGGTGGGAGGCAAGTAGATTTGTTCTGGTCCTTAGGACAAGTAAAACATGAGGTAGGAGTCCTTGGACTTCTCACCTGAAGGCTCTAGAGTAAACTTCTATGGTAAGAATACAGCTCAAGGCTCAAAACTCATGAGTTTTGGCAGCAGTCTCTCCAACTTCTTCCCAAATAATACCTTTTCTTTTCTTAACCCCTTTGAGAATATGTTTTACTACTAAGAACAATACCCAATTTTTATGATAGCTCTTAATTCAGACAGATAGGAAACAGAGTTATAGCCCCTTGACAGTTCTTGCAAGTGGAGCAGTATTCATTTCTCTTTGCACAACACCCTAGCCAGTCTTACCTTTCCATAAGAATAATGGCAACGAGTTCCATTGGAGAGTATGTTAGGACCTTACTAGAGGTCACTCTGAGCTTCCCACATAGGATTAAGTGTCCCACACAATGCATTGATAATGTTGACTGTATCAGAGCATGATAAGGCTGGTAAACAAAGAAGTGTACTGCTAAACAGAGCTAAACATCAGGAAGCTATTTATACCTTCCTTTATTATCCAAGTGTTTATTTCCTCGAATTGTCAGCATTTCACTTTGAATTTTGTGTTCTAAATAAAAAATCTAGGACTTCTGCTCATTTTAAATAATAGGGACTAAAATCATAATACCACCTGAAATAATAATAATAAAGACAATATGTTAAACAGTGGTTTTCAAGTTACTGAATATTAGGCAGCCAAGCACAGTGATCTCTGAGGGATGAAAACAATTACTTGAGCCCCTTATGATTTCCCAGCTGTCTTAAGAGAATTTAGAGACAATGGCCCATTAAAGAGGAGCCCAGCGTGAGCCCAGTAGCTCTCTAATTTGAAGAAATGGAGCTGAGTGGGGAAACTGAGGTGGCTAGAATTTGGAGGACAGAGTGCCAAGAGCTGCACAGAAAGAAAACCACAGAGATCTGCAGAGAGCCCTATTTAAGTATTCAGCAGAGTGATGTTGTTCCATGTACATGTATGCAGATGAGGAAACTACCCGAAATCCAGGAAAAAAAAAAATCTGACAGGATTGGAAGGAATAGAGCCCCATACTCCCACAGGGCTGGGAATAATGACTGATTCTACCAGCCAGACTAGAAAATCGCATAATTCATGTGGCATCAGGTGGGAAACTTGGGAAGATCTTACTCAGTAATGGGAAATAATTAGCCTTAGAATGAGCACTTCTCTGGACCTGCCTAACAAATTATAAAAGCACAACTCAAGGGGATCCCTGGGTGGCTCAGCGGTTTAGTGCCACCTTCGGCCCAGGATGTGGTCCTGGAGTCCCGGGATCGAGTCCCACATCAGGCTCCCTGCATGGAGCCTGCTTCTCCCTCTGCCTGTGTCATTGCCTCTCTCTCTCTCTCTGTATGTCTCTCATGAATAAATAAATAAATAAAATCTTAAAAAAAAAAACCAGGACTCAAAATGATCAAACTATTTTCAGGTAACTTAAATGCACCTAAGAGCACAGCACAAGACAAAATGCAAAAATGAACAGTAACCAACAAGGAAAAAGGCAAAATGTCTGGCATCCAGTCAAAGATCACCAGGCATGTAAAGAGGAAAACATAATCAGTCCTGAGCAGAATAATCATCCAGTTGAAACAGACTCAGAACCTGTATAGATCTTAGAACAGCAGGCAAAAACATTAAAACATTTCTTTTATTTCCATGTGTTTGAAAGCTAAGCAGAGACATGGATATAAAAAGACTCATATTGAACTACTATGTGCAAAATGAAAAATACTCTAGATGGGATTAATGGCAGAAGAAGAGATCAGTAAACTTGAAGACATAGCAGTAGAAGCTATCCAAAATGAAACACAGAGAAGAATCTTAAAAAGATGAAAAAGAACATCAGTGAGCCAAAGGATAACTTCCCTTTCCATGGGATAACTTCATAGACCATCTAATTAAAGCAAAGGAGATGAGGGACAGAAAACGTATCTGAAGATCTAATGGCTAAAAAATTTCCAAAATTGAGGAAAATGTAAATCCACAGATTGAAGAGGCTCTAAGAATCCCCTCCCCCAAATAAAAGACAAGAAAACTACATAAACACATCATAAATGCTCAAAAGTTAGCAATAGAGAACATCTTAAAAGCAGCCAGAGAAAAAAGACACTACATACAGGGTAAGTAAGATGAGAACATTATATTTTCTTGTTGGAAACGATGCAAAGAAGAAAGTTGAATAACATGTTGAAAGTACCAAAAGCAAAAACTGTCAACCTCGAATTCTATACCTAGTATAAAGATCTTCCAAGAACAATACCAGGTGGAATTACAGATCTATAAAAAGGAGTAAAAGTCTCTGATAATTATAATTACAACGGCAGATATGTAAGATTTTTCCTTATTATTTGAATCTCTACAAAAGATAATTGTGTAAACAATAATAATCATATTGTTATTGTAGAGGTGATAATAGATGTATAAGTAAAATGTATAGCATAAATGCCCAAGAGAGGAGAAATCTTAAACATACTGTTAAGATTCTTGAAACAGTATGGTATTATTTGAAGACAGACTGATAAGTTAAACATGTTAACTATAAACAGCAAAGCAATCACTAAAATAGTAGGAAATAAATAGCAGCTGGTAGACTTAAATCCAACCATTTCAGTAATCAAATTAATTATAATTGGTCTAAATGCCCATTTAAAAGGTTGAGATTATCACATTGAATTTTTAAAAAAGATCCAATTATATATTGCTTGCAAGAAATTATACTTTAAATATAAGGACATAAATAACTTAAAAAGTAAAAGGATGGAAAATGATTAGCCACAATAAAACTAAAATGACTGTATTAATATCAAAGTATATTTCAGAGTAGAGAATACTGCCAGGGATAAAAAAGGTGATTTCATCATGAAAAGGGGACAGACATTTTTACATGAAGCAAAAAATGATAGAAATATAAGAAGAAATGAATACATCTAAATTTATTTATAGAGTTCTAATACTCCCCTGTAGGATTAAAGAACAAGTAGTAGGAAATCAACAAATGAATAGTAGGCATCAGCAACACTGTCAACCAGCCAGACCTAACGGACAGGTAGAGAGCACCCCCAGCAACAGAATGTACATTCTTTTCAAGTGCACACAATGTTTAACGAAGTTAGACCATATTCTGGACCATAAGGTAAGTTCTGATAAATTTAAAAGGATGTAAGTAATATAAAGTATATTCTCAGGTTACATTGAAGTTAAATTAAAAAATTAATGCGAAAAGTTATCTGGAAAACCTCCAAATATATGGAAACTAAGTAACACATTTCTAAATACTCCTTGGGTATAGAAAAATTAAAAATGGGCATTAGAAAATATTTTCAGGGCAGCCCAGGTGGCTCAGCGGTTTAGTGCCGCCTTCAGCCCAGGGTGTGATCCTGGAGACCTGGGATTGAGTCCCACGTTGGGCTCCCTGCATGGAGCCTGCTTCTCCCTCTGCCTATGTCTCTGCCTCTCTCTCTCTCTCTGTGTCTCTCATGAATAAATAAATAAAATCTTTAAGAAAAAAAGAAAGAAAATATTTTCAACTAAATGGAAATGAACATTTCAAAATTGTGGATTGCTACTAAAGCAGTCCTTATAGTGCCAAACACTGATAAGAAAAAGAAGAGTTTCGTTCTCTGACCTCAGCTTTCATTTTAAATAATGAAGGGGAGAAATAAATCAAGTTAACTGCAAAGTAAGCATAGGAAAGGATATAATAAAGATCAGAGCATAAACCAATAATAGAAGAAACAAAAATAATAGAGAAAATCATTGAAGTCAAAAGCTGATTCTTTGCAAAGATCAATAGAAATTATAAACCTCTAACTAGATTAATCAGTAATAAAACACAGATTAACTAATGTCAGAACTGGAAGTGATGACTGACATCACTGTTGATTCTATGAATATTACAAGGATAATAAAGGATTATGAACAAATTTATACCTTTAAATTTGACAACTTAGTTGAAATGGATAATTTTCATGAATAACACAAATTACCAAAGTTCACTGAATAGCACTATTTCTGTTACAGAAGTTGAATTCGTAGTTAAGAAATTTCCCACAAAGAAAATTTCAGGCCTAGATGACTTCACTGGTGAATTGTTCCAAACATTTAAGGAAAAGGTAATACATATTCTACACAGACTCTTCCAAAAAGTTTAAGAAAAGGGAATACATCATTCCAGCTCATTCTACGAGGCAGGTATTATGCTGATACCAGAATCAGGTAAAGATACGGAAAGAAAACTACAAAGCAACATCCCATATGAAAATACATGTAAAAATTCTAAAGAAAATTCTAGGAAATTAATTCTAACGATATGTAATAATTTAACCGTGACCAGGTGGAGCTTAATTCCAAGAATGCTAGGTTGATTAAACATTCAAAAGTCAATTGGTGGGACGTCTGGGTGGCTCAATGGTTGAGAGTCTGCCTTCAGCCCAGGGCATGATCCTGGAGTCCTGGGATTGAGTCCTACGTTGTGCTCCCTACATGGAGCCTGCTTCTCTCTCTGCCTGTGCCTTTGGCTCTCTTTCTCTGTGTCTCTCGTGAATAAATTAAATCTTTAAAAGCAAAAAAACAAACAGACAAAAAAACCGAAAGTCAATCAGTGTTTCACCATATGAACACACTAATGAAGAAAAAGTCTGGTCCTCTCAATAGATGTAAAAAAAAGCACTGACAAAGTCCACTGTCTAGTACTAATAAAAACTTTCAACAAATAAGAAATAGAAGAGAATTTCCTAAATACTACACCCTAAAAGGCATCTATGTAAAACTTAAAGATACCATATTTAATGGTAAAAATTTAAATGCTTTTCCCTTAATGTCAGGAACAAGACAAGGATGTCTGCTCTTGCCACTTCATTCAATATTGTACTGAGAATGTGACCAGGCAAAAAAAAAAAAAAAAAAAAAAAAAAAAAGAA